GGAATCCACACAAATGTTCTAAAAAAACAAGATTAACAACCCGAGTTGGCCTAGAAACTTCCGGCTAGTAAAGTACATAAACGAAGGACTAAATAAACAAAACTAATGGAGAGTAAACCTACTGTTTGCCCTCGCCTGAAAACCCCTCGCCACTGCGGCATTTTTGCTCCTATTATCACGAAATTCACGAGCTAGTTCCACTTCACTCGGAGTACCCTTTCACTTGCCAAACTTCCCACTAAAGGAACTCTCACTTTCAGCATTCCCCATGCCCCTGGCTAATCTCTTCCATGGTTTCGCACGACAATTCACCGCCGAATCCAAACCTGGAACTAAATCATAATTTTCTAGATTTCCCAAAGCCATATGAACACCGTTCTGCGCTGTACCCCTCCCCTGCCTACCATCTGTTTCCTCCACCCCCTTACCAATCCGACACCCTCCAATCAGCACTCTCCACCCCCCATATTATCCTTCCCACGGCCCACAGATCAACCCAACTTCCCCCAATTCTTATTACTAGAAAACCACCTTCCAAACTCCCTATTTCACCCATGGCATCCCTCAACCATTGGTTTTCATTGGCCTTGAACCCAAGAAGCATAATTAGAACCTAAACCTATGACAAGGTGAGCCTATGGAAGAATATGAGAATCAAAGAGAGCATGCTGCAACAGAAATCAAGAAAAATGTGGCTGAAAGAAGGGGCTGCAAACACAAAATTTTTCCACAGAAGTGTGAAGGGCAGATGGAGAAGAAATGAAATTAATAGCATCCAAATCAATGGGGAGCAATATAGAGGTGTGGCAGAAATCAGAGAGGGGGTGTTAAGGTATTTTAAGGGGCTGTTTACAGAAGAAAAGTGGCAAAGACCAAAGCTTGATGGAATAAACTTTAGGCAACTTGATGATAAGGACAATGATCTCCTGATGGCAAAATTCACTGAAGAAGATATTCAAAATGAAGTATGGGATTGTGACTCGACAAAGTCTCCGGGTCCGGATGGTTTCAACTTCAGGTTCATAAAGACAATGTGGGAGGAAATAAAGCAGGATGTCATAGGATTCGTGCAGGAATTTCATGAGCATGGCAAATTAGTAAGAGGCTCAAACTCCTCCTTCATTACTTTAATCCCGAAGGTCGAAAACCCCCAAAGAATCGAGGAGTACAGACCAATATCACTCATCGAAGCAATGTATAAGATCCTTGCAAAGCTGTTAGCAAATTGCCTCAGGAAAGTACTTGACAAGATCATAGGGGAGCAGCAGATGGCGTTTATAGAAGGCAGATAGCTGATGGACGGAGTGGTGATTGCAAATGAGGTAATAGACGAAGCGAAAAGGAGGAGAATAAAGAGCTTTTTATTCAAAGTCGACTTTGAAAAAGCCTATGACAAGGTGAGCTGGGAGTTCGTTGATTATATGCTAATGAGAACGGGATTCACAATTAAGTGGAGAAAGTGGATAAAGGAATGCTTGCAATCGAGTATGATATCCATCCTTGTGAATGGAAGCCCCACAAAGCAATTCTCGGTCAACAAAGGAATAAGACAAGGCGACCCTCTTTCGCCTTTTCTATTCTTATTAGTGGCAGAAGGTTTGAATGGGCTAATGCAATCTACAGTGGAGAAAAACTTGTTCAAAGGGGTGAGGATAGGTAACGGAAGCATAGCAGTCTCTCATCTCTAGTTTGCCGATGATACATTATTCTTCGGGGAGGCGTCGGAAGAAAACATACAAGTAGTCAAATGCATTTTGAGGACTTTCGAACTCGCTTCGGGGTTGAAAATCAACTTTGGAAAAAGTCAGATAATGGAGATCAGAACCGAGGAGGGCTGGAAGGAGAGAATGGCTTGTAGACTGTGCTGCAAAGAAGCAGATCTACCATTCAAGTATCTGGGAATACCAGTCGGAGGGAATCACAGAAAGCTAGCATTGTGGAAGCCACTGTTGGAGTCTTTTAAGAAGAAATTAGCTAGCTGGAAAGGACAAAACCTATCCCTAAGAGGTCGGATCACGCTCTTAAACTCTATGTTGTCTAGTTTACTTGTGTATCTGATGTCGGCCTTCAAAATCCCTAAAGGTACTATCCATTCCTTAGATAAAATTCGTAGGAATATTTTATGGGGAGGGTTGGGGGAGGAGAAGAAAATTAAATGGGTTAGCTGGGAGAGGGTGTGTAGGAAGAAGGAGTGTGGAGGCCTGGGAGTGAAGGACCTAAGAAAGTTTAATCTAGGGTTGATGGGAAAATGGTGGGGACGGTTAGTGAAAGGGGAAGAAGGGCTTTGGGGGAAAGTTATAAGGGGAAAATATGGAGGTAACGGGGGACAGTGGATGGACTGGGTGAGAGATGGAAGAAGAGTAGGATCACTTTGGTGGAGAGACCTTCAAAGTCTCAATGTGGGGGAGGATGGGAATGAGGGATGGTTGACGGAGGGATTTAGAATGAAGATAGGTGAAGGGAAAGGTGTGAGTTTCTGGTGGGATGAATGGTGTGGAGAGAACTGCCTAGCGAACATATATCCTAGATTGTATGTCTTGTCAACAGGGAAGGAAAAAGATTGTCAGCAAATGGGAGAGGATCACAATGGTACTTGGAAGTGGAACATGACATGGAGAAGGGCCCTGTTTCAGTGGGAGGAGGAGGCTGAAAAGGAACTGCAGAAGACAATCGAAAAAGTCAAAATCTCCCCAGGTTGTGCAGATAGATGGGAGTGGATCCACAGCGCAGATGGACAATACTCAACAACAACAGCTTATGCAGTACTAGCAAAACAAAGGAAGGAAGATGATGAGGAGAAAATATTTAAGAGAGTATGGAATCCAACCATCCCAACAAAAGTAGCTGCATTCAACTGGAGGGTACTAATGGATAGAATCCCAACTAGGAGTAACTTGTTCAAACGGGGAATCATAAAAGAAGTGGAAGAAAGAAAATGTGCTTTGTGTATGGGAGAGGAGGAAGATTCAAGCCATTTGTTCTTGAACTGCAGTGTAGCTAAGTGGCTGTGGAAAGCCTGTACAAAGTGGTGGGGAGTCAAAATAGTCTTACAAAAAGAATGCTGGCCAACATTTCAACACTTGGGAGCGTGGACAAAAAAGACATACAAAAAGGAAGGCTGGGACTGCATATGGAATGCAATGTTATGGACCGTGTGGATGGCGCGCAACAAAAAGATTTTCGACAATGCAGAGGTAAACTTGATTAAGCTTTTTGATCTTATTCAATTAAGGTCTTTTACTTGGATCAAAGCTAGGAAACCCAAGTGTTACTTCCATCTATCAGACTGGTTAATTAACCCTACTTCTTGCCTTGATAAAGCATAGTAGAATATGTTTGAAAGAGGGTAGTAACACTGAAGGGACTGTAATTTGTTTTTTGGAAATGGGTTGAGTACCCCTTATACTCAAGTTATCAATACAAATTTCTTGGCTGTTCAAAAAAAAAAAAAAAAAAAAAAACAGCAGTCCATTTGCAGGCTTTATGAAGGAAGAATAGCTCAGGGCCTGCTTAAGGGGACTCCTGTGATCTTTAAGGTCAGATTATATTATGTTTCCGCCCGTTATATTCTGTTTGCTAAAATTTTTTAGTGTTTATTTTATTGATGTGCTCTCAGATTAATGCCCATATTTTTTTAGTGTTTATTTGTAGAGACAAAGAGGAACCAGGGAAAAAAAAGAACATTTTTGAGGGGGCTATACTGCAATTAGACTGTTTCTTTTGCTTGTTTTATGCGTGGATGCTACTTGATTGAAGTTGCCTCATGTTATAATACTTCTCTACCAAGGAACATGAACAAGTTACGTGATTATTAGCTTGGAATGGGACTACTTAGCAGAGAAAGGCTTGATTTTATGTGCTTAAATTCATTTTAAAAGAAACAAGAATGGTGTTTTGGGGGTTTGGACACTAGACTACTTTGTCAGCTCTGATACCGTAACGAGAACTTTTTCAACAAAAAGCTTAAGCCGTGAGCTAATGATGGCCCATGAATATTGTAAATCTTTAACAGCCATGATGGCCAAAGATAAGCTACATGGTAGATTAATTTGTAAAATACATTCACTTTCCCCTCCTCAGAAATTGAAAAGTATTGCTGTGCCCTTCTTCATAAACTTATTGTTGAGCCTTTTCTGAAATTATGTGACAAATATCTTTTCTTCCCCATCAGCCTCCTCTTTATGCAGTTAAGAATTTTTTTAAGGAATTCCTTTTTTATTCCTATTTATTTGTTCTCTGATATA